GCCGTAAATGGAATGAGGGAGGGAGAGTACTGACCTAAGGGGTTAAATCAATAGTTGAAAATAGATAGTGTTATCTGTGGTTCTATTTTGGGTTATACACAAGAGTAGGCCACGTTGAGGAAAAACAGAGCACTGTGGAAATCCTAAGCATGTGAAGAGTTCATGTTAATCAAGAATCCATCTGATTTCACTTACAGTGGGGCAAAAAAGTATTTAGTCAGCCACCGATTGTGCAAGTTCCCCCACTTAAAATGATGACAGAGGTCAGTAATTTGCACCAGAGGTACACTTCAACTGTGAGAGACAGAATGTGAAAGAAAAATCCATGAATCCACATGGTAGGATTTGTAAAGAATTTATTCGTAAATTAGGGTGGAAAATAAGTATTTGGCCACCTCAAACAAGGAAAATCTCTGGCTCTCACAGACCTGTAACGTCTTCTGTAAGAAGCTTTTCTGTCCCCCACTCGTTACCTGTATGAATGGCACCTGTTTGAACTCATCATCTGTATAAAAGACACCTGTCCACAGCCTCAAACAGTCAGACTCCAAACTCCGCCATGGCCAAGACCAAAGAGCTTTCGAAGGACACCAGGAAAAGTATTGTAGACCTGCACCAGACTGGGAAGAGTGAATCTACAATAGGCAAGCAGCTTGGTGTGAAAAAATCAACTGTGGGAGCAATCATCAGAAAATGGAAGACATACAAGACCACTGATAATCTCCCTCGATCTGGGGCTCCACGCAAGATCTCATCCCGTGGGGTCAAAATGATCATGAGAACGGTGAGCAAAGATCCCAGAACCACACGGGGGGACCTGGTGAATGACCTGCAGAGAGCTGGGACCAAAGTAACAAAGGTCACCATCAGTAACACACTACAACGGCAGGGAATCAAATCCCGCAGTGCCAGACGTGTTCCGCTGCTGAAGCCAGTGCATGTCCAGGCCCGTCTGAAGTTTGCCACAGAGCACATGGATGATACAGAAGAGGATTGGGAGAATGTCATGTGGTCAGATGAAACCAAAGTAGAACTTTTTGGTATAAACTCAACTCATCGTGTTTGGAGGAAGAAGAATACTGAGTTGCATCCCAAGAACACCATACCTACTGTGAAGCATGGGGGTGGAAACATCATGCTATGGGGCTGTTTTTCTGCCAAGGGGACAGGACGACTGATCCGTGTTAAGGACAGAATGAATGGGGCCATGTATCGTGAGATTTTGAGCCAAAACCTCCTTCCATCAGTGAGAACTTTGAAGATGAAACGAGGCTGGGTCTTCCAACATGACAATGATCCAAAACACACCGCCCGGGCAACAAAGGAGTGGCTCCGTAAGAAGCATTTGAAAGTCCTGGAGTGGCCTAGCCAGTCTCCAGACCTCAACCCATAGAAAATCTGTGGCGGGAGTTGAAAGTCCGTGTTGCTCGGCGACAGCCCCAAAACATCACTGCTCTCGAGAAGATCTGCATGGAGGAATGGGCCAAAATACCAGCTACTGTGTGTGCAAACCTGGTAAAGACCTATAGTAAACGTTTGACCTCTGTTATTGCCAACAAAGGTTATGTTACAAAGTATTGAGTTGTATTTTTGTTATTGACCAAATACTTATTTTCCACCCTGATTTACCAATAAATTCTTTACAAATCCTACCATGTGGATTCATGGGTTTATTTTTCACATTCTGTCTCTCACAGTTGAAGTGTACCTCTGGTGCAAATTACTGACCTCTGTCATCATTTTAGGTGGGGGAACTTGCACAATCGGTGGCTGACTAAATACTTTTTTGCCCCACTGTATGTCTGGTTTAGCATTTCCCTTATCATTCAGACATTACTGAGTCATTCCAATGCTCTCCTTCTTTTTTTCTCTGTTAGCCTCGAGCTGTGTACTGTAAAGATGTCCTGGACATTGAGCAGTTCTCCACTGTCAAAGGCGTGAACCTTGACCCCACAGATGACGACTTTTATTCCAAGTTTGTCACAGGCAGTGTCTCCATCCCTTGGCAGAACGAGGTACTGCGAGCTCAGGCCGTTGAGATGATGTCATTGTTTACACCCACAGCACATAGAAACACCTGCATAAATGATGTGCACTCTGCTTTAAGATGAATTTGGAAGACAGAGTAATAATAAGTGTACATTGCATGTGAAGTTGGCGCATGTGTGTAAGTGCAGGTGTTCAGTTATGTCCTAAATGTCCAACGTGAATGGAGAGGGAATGACAGTCACTCCTACGAAGGAGTATTAAGGCCACGATAAGAAAAAAATATTAACGACCAATTTGAGGATAAAGCTGAAATTTCAAGATTAAAGTTGTAATTTTATTTTGAGAAAAAAGTTGAAATGTGGAGATTACAGTCTTTGCTTCAAGGCAAACTGCCGCAGTTTCTGTACCCTCTGAGTTAGTGAAATCATACTCAAGAATTGGTTTTTGTAAATGGCAAATTTGTATAGCGCTTTACACATCCAGTCATCCACCCATTCACACACTGGTGGAGGCAAGCTACAGTTGTAGCCACAGCTGCCCTGGGGCAGGCTGACAAAAGCGAGGCTGCCATATCGCGCCATCAGCCCCTCTGGCCAACACCAGTAGGCGGTAGGTGAAGTGTCTTGCCCAAGGACACAACGACCGAGACTGTCCGAGCCGGGGCTCGAACCGGCAACCTTCCGATTACAAGACGAACTCCCAACTCTTGAGCCACCTTCGCCCTTTCTTGTAACCAAGAAAGAAATGATTTCTCTTTTAGCACATAAAGTGTGGTGAAAAATATGAGGACGATGAAAAGATGGTGCAAAAAGCTGCATCTGGTCCGACGGACAAACACAACCTGAAAGAGCGGATAAAAGGAAAGGGCTGGCAATGGACAGATGCAAGGTTATCGATGGTTACACCTTCGTGCAATAAAGTGGATGTATTTTATATCACGAGACGACCAATCAATTTGTTTAACTGGGTGCTCTAAACATTGCGTTTTGTAGAGGGTATAGCAAACATGGCAGTTTGTCTTGCAACAACAACGATAATCTCCACATTTCCCCTTTTTTCAAAATACATTTTTGGCTTTAACCTTGAAATTTAGACTTTATTTTCAAAATGTTCAACATATTAATTTTTATGTGTGTGTTTATTAGCAGGGAGCATCTCAAAAGACAAAAGATTCCTTGCAGCAGATTTGACTACTAACTAATTTCCACCTGTTTGAGGTTTAATTACTCACACTCTCTTTGTGTGTGTAGATGATCGAGATGGAGTGCTTCAAAGAAATCAACGTTTACGAGACAGACGGGACACTGTGCCCAGACCTGGACATGAACCGGCCTAACCCTCCACCAAAGAGAGGCTTCTTCTACCGCCTGTTCAGAAGAGAGGCAAGTGCTAGTGCTCCGGCAACTGTGCGAGGGGGTGGGGGCTAAGGTACTTCCTTTCTTCCTACTTTCCTTGCTTCTTTTTTTTTCCCAAGGCCTTATCCAAACTCAGCATGTTGAAATATTATCTCTAAGCTGTGAAACTTTGTTTGAATAAGGCCCGTCTTCTCTTTGTAACCCTTCCTCACTAAAGCTTTGCATATTCTTAAGGGGTGATTTGTGCTTAGGGGATGTGCTAATAGTGATGTAAATTCAGTGATGATAAATGATTCTAACAGCATGTTTGTTTGCAGGATTGTTCAGCTTACAGGGTATTTTCACTATGTCCCTCCTGTTTGTTATTACTGGACCTTATATTGTGCTTTAAACTTCCCTTGAATTCTTGTAATTTCACACAGATTCCTACCTTTTTTGTCACAACTTCTGTTTGATCCCAGAGATTTGAATAAGAAGATACGTGATCCCTTACTGCCCTTTAGGGTCCCATGGTTTAGGTGGGGCAATATTGTGTGTATATAGTGTATCAAGTCATGAAAAAGTATTTGCGCCCTTCCTGATGTCTTCTGGGTTTTTTGTTTTTTTTTGTATACTCATCACACTTGGGTGTTTCAGGTTATCAAACAAATTTTAACAAGAGTAAATACAAAAATTCTGGTTTTAAATCGTGGGAAAAAAAGTCATCCAAATATGCCTGGCCCTATGTGGAAAAGTAGCTGCACTGAACATGAGAGATAATAAGGAGAATGAGAGTTACAGATTTTTTTCCCTTCCTGACCTGTTTTAGACTTTCAGGTTACTTCCAGGCCAACTTATCTTATTAGTGGAAGCTGTCAGGATCATAGAAGACTGAGATGAAGACTGCAGACACTGTTCTCTGGTCCCTCTTGGATTCAGAAAATGAACATCAGTCAAAGATCAGCCATCTCTTTGCAGTAAAAGATGCCTGCTCACATCTTTAGAGAGAGCTTGTGCTTTAACAGCACACATTTACATAGCAGTCCCACTTTCTATTCTGGTTATTATGGATACGTTGAATTGCATGTCTTGCAGTATGTCATCTTCTAACTCGCTTGCAGTTGAGTATTTTACTAATTCCAGCTTTGGCCCTACCGAAAAACCACATCTAATGTGGTTAAGTGAGGGTTACAGGCAAGGGTGACATCATCTTGCACATGTGAGCTGGTGCAGCGATGCAGGTTTCCAATGTTAGTGATATATCCTCACTTTTACTCCTTCCCAGATCTGTTTTGAGGGCAGTTACAGCGATGACGAGACTGAAGGGCCCTCGCGACTTTAAACCACTCCCTTCACCTGCACCCTTCCGCCGCAGAACTTCTCCACAAACTCCAACCGAGCGCAAATCTTAGGAACTCAGTGAATGTTGACCTGTATTTATGAGCTGTATTAAAAGTGTATTATAATTAAAGAAAAAAGTATGAGTTTAAAGATTTTGTACATTTGTACTTGAATTTATGTCTAGATGTATATTTTCACTAAAGGTTGTATTGTACAAAAAGCCATAAAAGTACCACTTGAATGCATACATTTACATTTTTATTTCCTTTTTTATTTTCTTTTGGAATGAGTATGGATAAAGTGTGTTGGGGAGCTTTTTTTTGTTTTGTTTTTAAGAAGCACAGTACCAGTAGTCTTTTTATTTTCTCAATGTAGCATAAGGCCTTTTTGTTTTCTTGTGAGCTGTAATTTTGTCTTTGATTTGGCCAGCGTGACATGTTTTTAGTACATCAGCTCTGCCTGGTTTCAAACTAACCCTAGCCTCCAAATGCCTCAAGGCTCAGGTAGTTCTAAATGAAGTGTGTAGATTCTAATGAAACGGGGTTAAAAATGAATCTAGACTACCGTTGCTGTGTTAATGCCACACTGCTTAACTTTTCCTGTCTGTTTCAAGGACTTACTGCCCCTGTGTATTTAAATTGGTTGAGGTAATCTGATCCCTCTCTTCAGCCCAGTTATGCAGGTGGCCGTGTAGTGAACTGTCTTCTAGGTGCCTGTACCGACCCAGTTCTAGCAGAGGTGGCGAGTTTACTCCTAATTGTGGTTTATTTAGCACGTGTAAGAGTTAAATAGTAAATATGATATGGTGGAGGCCATTTGCAGTAACATGAAGCCTGATCCCCATCATTACTGGACCTCTCTAGAAATCTTTTTTTCATGAGCTGCAAAAGCTCAGAACATTAATTTTTAGATGCACAGCTATTGAGTAAAAGTCTGTTACATTATTCACTTAGGTTGAATATTTTTGGGGTGATTTATCTCTATTCCTCGTCTTTTTTTCTTTGCTGTGTTCTCTGGCTTTTATTTCCTTTTCTGACTGTGTCCAGTTGTTTTGAATTGTTTAGCATGCATATGGTTTTAAGCAGACCAGAAAGCCTCTGGGTGTTTGGACACATTTGACTGAGTTGGAACAGGAAGACAGATGATAAAGGAGGCGATGTTGGAAATGTAACATAGACCTGGCCTGCAGCTGACAACTGCTTCTTTAAAAAAGAAACGACAACAAAAACTCTTGCGCCAGATCAGCTGGTTCAGATGTCAGCCGTCTTTGGCCTTTGTGCTTGGCTGATCGCTAGTTGGCCTCCATTTATCCTCCCTAGCTATAACTGTTTGAGATACATGTAGAATTTGTTACTGATGATGGGCACCTTTGACTACTATATTCAGAGCTTGGATGTTGCTCTCTCAGGAATGACCTGAGAAAGTTGCTCATGTGCGCAGATGCCGAGAAATTAACAATCAGTTGAGTTCTGAATTGCAGAAACAAGATTGTTTTACATTTTCCTACAGCCCTGTTTCCTTCCAAGTTAATCAGCCAAGAGCAAATACATTTTCTTTACTTTCCCCATTTATATATATAAAAAAACAAACAAACATGTTCACCATTTGCTTTTTTCTGAGGCATTTCAGACCCATTTTATGAATTTAGCTTTGGAGGCAGTTGCTGTTTACTTCCACCTTCTGTTTTTAATGCTGTGAATACCCCACCTGCACATGTTAGTTTTATGTGTATAACCTAAATGATTAATCAATTTTTTTTCTACAGAAAAGCAAAGTCTGCATTTTGTCAATACAGCGCTTCAGAATCATGTAGGAGCTTGATTCAATTCCTAACACTTTTGAAACTGTATACATTTAAAGTGGCACACATATAGGTCCCCTATGTAATTACCTAATTTGGAGAAGTGGCTTATTCTAAGAGTTTGTCCCCTGTTGCACATTCCATTATCAGGAATCAGATGGGTGCATCTAGCTGTCGCCGGCTTCTTGTCATTGAGTTTCTTAGTGTCTTTATTTCGTTTGTTGTTGCTCTCAGGCACATTTGAAGCTGATTTTGCTTGCCTCTGTAGATTTTAGCCTTTTAGCTCTTTAGCCTCAAAAACCTTGTAAATTATGTATTTCTAACATGTAACTGATTCACTCATTCTCACAAGGAAACTAAACTGTGTTCACCACCCATGACTCTATCATTGTTTTGACCATCTTTACTCTTACACCTTCCATATAGCAGTGAAGAAATTCTGTTTTTCGTTCCATTGCACTAATGGTGTGTTTTGACAATGACTATGGGAAAAGTGTCTTTAAACTTTTGTTGGTTTGTTTTTATTTTGTTTTTTTGCCAGTGATACCAAAAGCGACATAAACTAAATTAGAATTTCTTTGTTATCTGAAGAATTTAGTAGAGAAAGACTGACAGCCTTTATTAAATGTGCCAATAACCAAGTTAATTTTTGACATCCTGCCTTTTTTCAGCCTCTTTATCCTTCCGTCCATTCTTAGAGAAATCCCTTTGCGTAAAGGAACTTTAAACAGCTCAACAGTTTTGAATGTCCGCACTAAGTGCATTGTAATGCCTGTTTAGAAAAATGCATATGTTTTATTACTCAAGCATGTATCAGTTTGTAATACTTCAGGTTCCTTGTATATGTAAATTATGACCTTCTAGTGCCAACATATCTCACTGGTATCTGAGGACATCTTTATGAATCGCAAGGCGACCAGCTGAGTCTTTGAATTCATAAAGCGCATTCCTTCTCTTCTGCCTTTCCTCCAAGACTCTGATGGTGAGTCAAGCCACTTCCCGAACACTGGGATGGCGCTCACCAGCGACGTTTCGAAGCGCAAGTTATTTAGTTTACTCAAGTCTAGCTTTGGGATGACCACCGACACAGGCTGGGAGGTTTTGCGGGGTTTCACGTTCTTTTGTCCAGATTTGTCAGTTAAGTAATATTTTCGAGAAAGGGAGAAATGATGGATGGATTATGGGTTTTCAAACTCGGCCTGGGACTTCTTGATTTTTCTTCTTTATTTTGTATCTGTACAGTCATGTCGTTCAACCACTGCAGTCATTGTTAATTCTTGTACAAGTTGTATCACTGGTTGTTGTACCATATCTGACATTTGTAATTATGAAATAATACACTGCCATTTGTATAAAAATACTTGTGTCTTGACTTATTTGATCTGTGTTTTTTGTTTTATTACTGTGAATAAAAGGCCATCGATTGGAAGAGTATAAAATGTAATGATCTAGTGCTGGGGGAAAAAAAAGTATCCCCCCCCCCTTCCTCTTTTCTTATTTTTTGCATATTTGTCACCCTTAGATGTTTCAGCATTCATCAAATTTTAATGTAAGACAAAGATAACCCAGGTAATTACAAAATCAATTTTTAAATGATTTCATTTTAAAGGCATGATGAAGCTAGGGATGGGAATTCATAAGAATTTAGCAATTCCATTATCGATATCACTTATGGATTAAAAATCCTTATCGATTCTCATTGGCTCTGCTTTGAAAGTCATCACCATCACTAAGCAGCATATCTGGGGCTGTGGTCAATATTCAATCAGCTTTAACATTACTCTGGGTTGTTGGCTATCTAAGCGTTAGCATGCTGTCTGCTGAGATGCTTGCAAAGAGCCGAAATTGTGTTAGCAGCAAAACTGAGTTGTTTCTGTCCTGGATGCAGTTTGCATTTTGCCATCACGCTCCATATGTGGAAAGGTAATGCTACCCTTGGTAAATCACAGCCTTCTTAATCAGGAAATCATGTAAATAGAAACCAATCTGAAGTAGACAGAAATATTGCAAAAAGCAACACATTGTGCTTCAATCTAAAGGAACTCAAGAACAATTAAGGAGCAAAGTCACTGACATCTGTCAGTCTGGAAAGGGTTACATAACCATTTCTAACCAAGGTGAGAGACATTATCCACAAATGTTGAAAACTTAGAAGAGTGGTAAACATTCCCAGTAGTGATGCGACTACCATAATTACTCCAAGAACTCATTGACAACTTATCCAGAAGGTCACCAAAAAACCCAGAACAACATCTAAAGAAAGAAGAGCGTGTGCAAAAAAGGGTGTAGCTATTGCGGTATACAGTGCGTTAAGTGGAGGAGTTGTACGGGGAGATGGCCACAGGCAGAAATGATTTCCTGTGTCGTTCAGTGGTGCTTTTTGGTAATCTCAGTCTCTCACTGAACGAGCTCCTGTGACTGACCAGCATGTCATGGAGTGGGTGGGAGGTATTATCCAACATTTTCTTTATTTTGGACAACATCCGCCTTTCGGACACCACCGTAAGGGAGTCCAGCTCCATCCCCATAACATTACTGGCTTTACGGATCAGTTTATTGAGTCTGTTGGCATCTGCGACCCTCAGCCTGCTCCTCCAGCATGCAACGGCGTAGAGAATTGCACTGGCCACAACAGACTCATAGAAAATCCTTAGCATTGTCCGGCAGATGTTGAAGGACCTCAGCCGCCTCAAAAAATACAGATGACTCTGGCCCTTCCTGTAAAGTGCTGTGGTGTTTTTAGCCCAGTCCAGTTTATTGTCAATGTATACTCCGAGGTATTTATAGTCATCCACAATGTCAACACTGACCCCCTGGATTGAAACAGGGGTCAAGAGTTTCCTGGTCTTCCTGAGGTCCATGATCAGTTCCTTGGTCTTTGCCATGTTGAGCAGAAGATGATTCTGCTCACACCACGTGACAAAGGAGTTAACCACAGCCCAGTACTCTATCTCATCATCCCTGCTGATGCACCCAACCACTGCAGAGTCATCAGAAAACCTCTGAATATGGCAGGTCTCTGTCCAATGGCTGAAGTCTGTGGTGTAGAGGGTGAAGAGGAAATGGGAGAGGACGGTCCCTTGTGGTGCCTCTATGTTGCTGATTACCTTGTCAGACACACACAGTAATCTAAACGAGATGGAACAAAAGCATTGACAAGTATGGCGGTACTGTTTGGAGTGATTGAAGGACGAAGGCGGTTAATATGATGAAGATGAAAATAAGAAGACTGAGTGATATTATTCATATGTGCCGTGCTGTCGAGGATGACACCAAGACTCTTAACCGGAGGGGAAGGTGTGCCAACACAGTTATCACTGGATAATGAAAGACTTCTGGTTGGAACTTTAGTCAGTTTTGATTTGGTGCCTATTAGAATAAATTCTAAAGTAGTGATAGTATGATGGTCTGGGCCTACTTTGCTGCTTCAGGACCTGGGCAACTTATCGTAATTTATGGAATCATGAACTCTGCTCTCTACAAGACAATCCTGAATTAGAGAATCTGGCCACTAACTCAAACCCTGAAAGTCAAGCACACTTAGGTCAACAGGACTGTGATTCTACACACACCAACAAGTCCACATCAAAAAAAAAAAAAAAGAGTTTTGGACAGTCTCGTCAAAGTCTGGACTCAAATCCAATTGAAATGCTTTGGCATAACCTTAAGCAGGTCGCTCACGCTAAAAAACAAAAAACCCTTCAATGTGGCTGAATTAAAACAATTCTGCAAAGAAGAGTGGGCCATAATTCCTCCATAGCACTGTGAAAGACGCATTAGCAATTATCCCAATAAATGCTTGACTGTAGTTGATGCGGCCAAAGGAGACACAACCAGTTATTAGGTTTAGGGAGCAGGTAGATTTGGGTGGCTTTTCCTCCCTTAATAAATGAAATAATCATTTAAACAGCATTTTGTATTCATTTGGGTTATATTTGTCTAATATTGAAATTAGTTTGATCTGAAAAAAAAATAATAATAAAAAAGAAACGAAATCCGGAGTAAAATACTTAAAGTTTATGCCATTAGACCTACCTTTGTTCCATTCATTACCTGCTTCTTCCAATTTGTCAGAGATCATAGCACTAACAAATGAATAAATGATCGAATAACTGTGTCAGGAGGGGCTGGTTTCAGTGCATTTGTTTTTCCTTCCTACGCTCTCTTATCAGTTGACACCCACTGTTATCAGCGCACACACTAAAGTCAATACTTGTAAATTACACTTGAACAAATCTGTCCTGCACTCCAGATTTCAGCGGTCTCGTGACTGCAACAATAACAACAAAAGAAAAAAAATCACAGTGTCGTATTGGTTCTTTCTAAAGCCACTCAACAAAAATCCGGACTCTGATTGGCTGCTGACGTTGCACCCTTCCCCTCTCGGTAAACCTGTCACACAAGCTACTTCCTGGTGTGATTGGTGGGAAAACGCAATGCTGCATCAAAGATGGCTTATTATCAACCTGCATTTGATTTATTTAGGAATAGTAGTGTGAAAGAATAAGTGGCGCTCTCCGAGAAGACAAGGCGGAGAGCTGGTGGTAGCTGTCGCGAGCAGTGTTAGCACTCTCGCCGCACTACGCACCTCTTGCTCTCTACGTGCGCAAACGTTAACTTGCCTCTACTCTGCTAGCTAGTTAGCTCACATAGTAAATATTAGCTCGTCAAGCAAGCTTGCTTATTGTAGATTACTAAAATGGCCACCATGGAGAAATTGATGAAGGCCTTTGAGTCTCTGAAGTCATTCCAGCAGCAGCAGGGACCACCGACCGCCGAGGAGCTCGCTCAGAGGCAGTAAGTTGATTTTTGTCCAGCGGTGACAGAATAGGAGGCGAGGAGCCGTTAGGCTAGACCCTTAGCTTATCGTGCTAGCAGCGTTGGTCCATTTCGGGTAGATAACCAACGTTTAATAGATGGCTTTAAGTCAGCTGCACTAAAACGTAAACTGGGAATGAGGCTAAGGTGTTATTCATACTTCTCAGCCCATTTAGGTCCACTTGTTGCCATGCTTTAGATCGCTGCTTAGCGATGCTCGCTATCCTAACGCGATCTGATTGTTTGCTAGCCTGATTTTAGGATCAGAACAGCTGAATGATGGCTAACACAGAAGGCTGATGCCAAGAACACGTGAAAGGGTCAGGAGGATCAATTTCAAGGACGTAATTTTGTGTATTCAGTAGCAGAGGACATTGAGTTTCATAATAATATTTAAACTGCTTATGCAAACGGTTATGAATGGAATGATGAACATAGCGGGGCTTCCTGCACTTGCTTCATCTCCAAGAAGTTTTACAGATCTAGTCCGTTGTTGGTTGAAACACAGGGATAGGAATTCATTTATATAGCTTGTAAAGAAGTGAATTGATGGGATCAGTGCGTAAGGAATACAGTTGTAGGGGATGGCTCTGACTTATAGTTATTATTTTAATCACTGCATTCCTTGGCTATAAGCAAGATACCTAAATTCAGTCTTTCTTTGTGCACACACACACTCACGTCATCTTTTGCATTTTGTCTTATCTTCCACAGAAAAAAAGAGCAAGCTGCCACAAAGAAGGACAGGGTGACCCACTGTCTGACAATATGTGAAAACATTGTGGCTCAGTCACTGAGGTATTCCTTGTTATTTGATCTAAATATGTGTTGGTGTGAGTCATATCTTTTTATATTCTTTTAGGGTTTCCTATCACCTTCACTAACTGTATAAACGGTAAGATAGCTTTTCTGTAAAGCATGTCTGAGGTGCAGGGTGATGTCATTTGCAACCAGAGCTTCTTCAGTAGTGATTTTACATCTGATTTCACTGATTTCTGTGATATTTGGTTTCACTTTTGTATTTTGGGAATGAAGTGGGGACATGTTCGTCTTTACATATATATATATTTTTCTTTTCTGTAATGTCCTTTTTGAAAAAAAACTTATTGCACCTAAGTTTTATGAGTTTATGCTAGGGGGTTAACAGTTTGAGAAAGGGAAAAAAATTATATATTTTTGGCTTTTCCTCTCTCTGGTCCTGGGAATAGAACATCTCCAGAGTTTCAGAAACTGCTTGGCATTGCCATGGAGATGTTCCTGCTCTGCAGTGATGACAGTGAATCAGATGTTCGGATGGTAGCCGATGAGTGCCTGAACAAAATAATCAAAGTGAGCAAAATCTGCAAGATGGGACAAATGAATAAGAATATTAATGACAAAAATTGTCAAAATAAGTTTGGTGTTGTTGGTGGTAGTGTTAATCATTCATTTTGATAATTTTCAGGCACTGATGGACTCCAACTTGCCTAGACTGCAGCTGGAATTGTACAAAGAAATTAAAAAGGTAAGGCATGGGGTTGTAAAGTGAGCATTTTGTAATACACCTTATATGTCTTTA